TTAAAAAAACCCTAACAGATAATAATTAATAACGTGTTATGATAACAAGAAATTTAGGGCCTGTTTATTTGCGTTTTCATTTTCGTTTTTCACGGTTTTCAAAGTAAAAAAATAAAAACGGGTATTAAAAACGTGTTTGGTGCAATTTTTTTTAAAAAACAAAACCAAAAACGTTTTTGTCTTTTTGTGGAAATCAAAAAACAAAAAAAATGTGTTTTCATTTTCTCGTTTTCATTTTCTGTTTTCTGAAAAACGGATTTCACTTTTTTTTTCTTTTCATTTTCTTCCCTCTTTTCTGAAACCGTTTTTGTATTATATATGTTTATTTAATATATTTATTTAATATATTATTATTTAATATATTTAATAATATTATTTATATAATATATTTAATAATATTATTTATTTAATATATTATTATTTAATATATTTAATAATATTATTTAATATATTTAATAATGTTATTTATTTAATATATATTTATTTAATATATTTAATAATATTATTTATTTAATATATTATTACATGTTTTCAAAAATTAGACCACCAAACGCAGTTTCAGTTTTTTTTAAAACTGAAATCAATCTCTAAATAAAACTACCAAACGCATTTTTAGAAATAATTTAAAAATAAAACTAAAAATGTTTTCATTTTCATTTTCGTACAGAAAATAAAAACGTTTTGGAATCAATTCCAAACGCACCCTTAGAATATTTATCTGATCATGACACTCATTATATAGATAGAATGCGATGCATTAACAAATGAGTTTTTTTTATTCTACTCTCAAGCTATTTTTTATATTTTTCTTCTATCATTTCATCTTTGCCCAAATATTTACTTAACTTGAGCGTAACTTCAGCGTTAGAGTGTCTTCTAGAGGACACCTCTGGCACCCGCAGCTGACGGAATGACTGGAAGAAAGAATAGGAGGTAGCTGATCAATTTCCAAAAGTCAATGTTTGGAAAACCACATGATAAAAAAGGTTTTTTTTTTTTTTTTTTTTTTTTTTTTTTTTTTGGGTAGAATTAAGTTCAACATAAAGTTGCTTTTTCACACAAGTTGAATGGAAGGAATATAATTTTCTAAACATCACACACGTACGGGGAATGTAGTATTATAGCTTTTGAGTCACAATAGGGTTGCAAAGGTAACAAAAAGTTCTTTCTCTTTCTAGCCTTTATATTTATATTAATTGTATAACGTGCTCCGCACTTATTATCTTGTTAGAGACACTGAAGAGTTTATTGCATCGAATAATAAGAAATATATAACTATGCGGATTTTTGAATTTATTTAAAAAAAAATATGTGTAGGATAATAATTGATTAAAAACGTAGAGACACATTTAAAAAAATATTTTAATCAACTAAAAATAAAATAGAAACACATACAAAAAAGTTTACTCTTATAAAAATAAAATGAGAAATAATATATTTTTAAAAAACACACAAAAATTTAAAATGCAAAAAAAATTTAAAAAATAAAGAATAAAAAAAGGTAAATAGAGGGGCTGTAAAAAACGAGCTTTGGCTCTTTTATGTTTTGTTAAATTAGATCAGATTAGCATGAACTTTATTATAAACAACAATAGTTTCTTTTCTCAACAAGACGAAGACCTGACATAAAACATAGTTTAGAGATAATGCAAGACCACTGCTATATCCCTTATTAAACAATAAATCCCATCTAATTTTATTAGAAATATGATAGTAAAGTTTTTATGTAAGAGTGAAGGTAATTTGGTTACTCATTTAATTATTAGAAAAATATTTAATTAAATAGATTAAATATATAATTTTACTAATAGTGGGATTTTGTATATGTATTTGTTTCAAAAATATTAATTAAATCGATCAATTAAAATTTATCAATAAATTGAAATCAATAGTGGTTTTGTATAATGTATTTTAGTTCGGATTGATTAGTCAAAGTGTAGTTGATTAATTTACTCTCTTCTAAAATAGATACTATACAAATTCTAGCTTTTTTTTTTTGGGTTTGAAAATGCTGAATTGTAGCTATAAACAAAGACAAAAAGGGACAATATACACAAATCGCACGTAAATCTGAATCATTTATATATATATATATATATATATATATATATATTAGCTAATGGACAAAGACTGATACATCCTTAATTAAATAAAATTTGATTCACATAAAATAAATAATAAGAGTTAGAATATGAAAGATCGAAGATGGAAGGTGAAAAAAAAAAAAAAAACTTTTTGATGGATTAAAAGGAGTGGGTGGTACATTTGAAAATCGAGAAAATAAAATGAGATATGTTTAGAAGTTAAAAACTCAAATTATATTTCTCTTTTTAAGGGAGTATTTTTTCCCTACCTATGGGGTGGAGAATTATCAATCATCGGATGGTTCAGATTAAATAGTACACCAAACAAATTATAAAGTAAGTCACACCTGATAACTACACAAAAGAAAGACAAAACACCCAAGATAAATTCTTGCGAAGTACTTGAATTCTTTTCTATCTTTAAAATTGGACCTTATTATTAATTTTGTGTCATAAATAGTGTTTAGATTGAAAAATTATCTAATAAGTGGTTTCTCAGTTAAAATTTTGAATGAAAACTATCATATTAGATATAGTATATGACTTACCATTTTTATATTAATAAATATTTAAAATATTACCAGTCAACATACACTTTTGTTTTTGTTTTAATAAAAATGGTGTCCAATCTTTGTTGTTAATATATATATATATTAGCTAATGGTCAAAGACTGATACATCCTTAATTAAATAAAATTTGATTCACATAAAATAAATAATAAGAGTTAGAATATGAAAGATCGAAGATGGAAGGTGAAAAAAAAAAAAAAAACTTTTTGATGGATTAAAAGGAGTGGGTGGTACATTTGAAAATCGAGAAAATAAAATGAGATATGTTTAGAAGTTAAAAACTCAAATTATATTTCTCTTTTTAAGGGAGTATTTTTTCCCTACCTATGGGGTGGAGAATTATCAATCATCGGATGGTTCAGATTAAATAGTACACCAAACAAATTATAAAGTAAGTCACACCTGATAACTACACAAAAGAAAGACAAAACACCCAAGATAAATTCTTGCGAAGTACTTGAATTCTTTTCTATCTTTAAAATTGGACCTTATTATTAATTTTGTGTCATAAATAGTGTTTAGATTGAAAAATTATCTAATAAGTGGTTTCTCAGTTAAAATTTTGAATGAAAACTATCATATTAGATATAGTATATGACTTACCATTTTTATATTAATAAATATTTAAAATATTACCAGTCAACATACACTTTTGTTTTTGTTTTAATAAAAATGGTGTCCAATCTTTGTTGTTATTGCGCAGCATTTTCTGATGACCTTAATGCTTTCTGCATCACTTCACGTGACCTGTAAATATGTACTTTCTGAACATGATCTGTCATCTGTCATCTGACTTTACTCCATTAACAAAATAAAGTTGGCGACATAATAGGCTTATGAATCTGAACCCTGGGAAAAATTACTACTTTCTTCTAATCTTATGTGAGTTAATTTGATGCTATTTTTTTTTTCCTTAATGATTGATGTGTGGGTTCACATGGGTTTCCCTTTGTCATTCAGCAACACTATACTATGTTTGATAGGATAGATAGAAAAAAGAAAAGAAAGAAAAGTAAAATACTTAAATGAATGAGATAAAATATTTTTCTCTTATGTTATTTGATAGATGAAAAAAAAGTGAAAAGAAAATATTAAATTTAAGATATTTTATAATAATATCTTAATACAAATAAAAATATGATGAATGGTGAAGGTTAAAATTATTATTTTACATCTTATTTTTTTGTCAAACTTTTTCCCTCCCATTTTCTTCCCAAAGTTAGAATGATTAAAAATTAGTGAGCCTCATAGATTTTCAAATTCTTTCCTTCCTCATTTCCTCTCTACCAAACAATCTAAAATTTAAATTTCTTCTACAAAATCCTTCTAAATTCTTTCCTTCCTCATTTCCTCTCTACCAAACAATCTAAAATTTAAATTTCCTCTACAAAATCCTTCTATTATTTTCTTTCTTCCCTCTTTTCTACCGTACCAAGCACACTGTAAATATGAAAAGTTTCCTAAATATGGGATTTGACCTCCCCCTTCTTTTTAATATTTTTTTAAATAGCAATTAAAGTGTTGCTTGGACACTATTTTCTATATTAAAGGTAGTTTAGATTGAAAAAGAACAAAAATAAAAAAAAAAGATGCAATGTCGCAAGGTTATGGGATTGTTCTTTTATATTTTTGAGTTAAGGTGACTTGAGTGATGATCTTGAGTTAAATTTGAGTTATAACTTGAGTTGAAGTTGTAATTTGAGTTTGTGCTTGGATGTGCATATTTAAGTTATGATTTGAATTGAGAATCTTTTTGAGTTTGTGTTTGGATGGATCAAAACTTAAATTTATATTTAGATAGTATTTTAATAAAAATTTAATGGTGATGAAAAATTTTAATAGGGCATATGGGTGGAGTTTTATTTGTTTTTTCGTTGTGAATGCATAGAAAAAAAAAATCATCTCAATCAGAATTAAAATGAAAAAATTATGACATTTTTAAAAAAAGAAAAAATATTGTTCATTAACTTGAATTCGAGTTTATGAACTCAAGTTAAAGGAAAAACTTGAACTTGAGTTTAGCCCCAAACTTGAGTTCAAACTCGAATTCAAACTCGAGTTCAAACTCAAGTTTTACAAAAAAATATGAATTTGAATAAAATTATAACTCGAGTTCAAATTTTTTCTGACTTTTGTTGTAAAAGAATAACCCCTACATGATTTGCAAACACAGGGTTGATTTTCTGCATTCTTGAAAATATAAGACGCAATGCCACATTTTTATAAAACAAGAGTTTTTTTTTTTTTTTTAATTATCTCTTTAATTATATCATTCCATTGTTGATCATACTAGAAGGGGACAAAAAGAATAAACATATTGACAATAAGCTCCAAGTTTTATGGTAAGAACTCCCCCTTTCTCGTCATTTTTGTAAACATCATAGTTCCAATATTGCAGAAATCAAATTGGTATTTTCCTTTTTTTTTTTTTTAAAAAAAAGGGTATTTTCCTAATTATTGATCAAAATTTGAGCATGGCGATTAATAGACGCATGAATGGCTTTTTAGAGCATGCTAACTCCAACTCTATTTCAAATGGTTCTGTCTCACAAAAATTTGAATGTGGTTTGAGCCCATGAACTAAACGGGCACTACTGCCAGCAGCGGTTTTCCATTACTCGGCTTTTGCTACCAAGGACTCGAGCTTCTTGAGCCAGTTCACATATTGGTCTTGCTCCTTTTTGTGTAAGTGGAGGCGGAGAAAGTTTATCAAGCTTCCTCCGACACCCTTGGCTACTAAGTAGTCCTTCAATGCAGTTTGTAGATGAAGGTCCAAAGAACTGCCACAACAAGTGAAGAAGATCCATTACTGAACGATGCAAATTTTGAAGATCCAAAGCGACAAATTAAGTAAGAAAAAGGAGATATAACCATTGAAAGCGATGATTTATGAGATTCGGAGAACAAATTTAATCCATCTAGTTATGGTAAGAGACATGGGAAACTTTTTTTTTTTTTTTTTTTTCTTCTTTTAATCATGCAACACGATATCAAAATTTATCCTCTTTTCAGTTGAAGTAATGCAAGTTCAGCAATAAAGACGAATTTCTTCCGCATCAAAGAAAACAAACCTGGAAATTTTAAAGGCTTGTAGCCCAGAAAGTATCTTCTTTTGCTCACTTGGCTTATGAATTTAAAGACATCTACTACTTCAACTTAGACCACTGACTGATTAGATAAAAACCACCTCTTCTTAAGACAAGCCTTACTAAGACATCCTTGGATCTGTCCTCTTAAGCCCAGATTTATTTCCACTTCTGTCCAAAATCATGTCTGAAGTTTTTGAATCTTCCGGTCAACAAATCTCTAATCCGACAGCAACAAATGAAATCATCAACACTGCAATAGGAGTGATGCAAAATATTCTCAAAAGTTTTAGCCGACTTCAAAACAACAATCACCTGGTTCCTAGGATCTTTGGGTGTGTGTCTTTTGTCCATATTCATTCGAAAACCGTGGTAAACTTGATCCAAAGGCTCTTAAGTGTGTTTTTGTGAGACATTCTTCTACACATAAAGGGTATAAACGTTATCATCCTCCAATAAAACGGTTCTTTGCCTCTGTAGATGACGCATTTGCTTAAGCCCAGATTTATTTCCACTTCTGTCCAAAATCATGTCTGAAGTTTTTGAATCTTCCGGTCAACAAATCTCTAATCCGACAGCAACAAATGAAATCATCAACACTGCAATAGGAGTGATGCAAAATATTCTCAAAAGTTTTAGCCGACTTCAAAACAACAATCACCTGGTTCCTAGGATCTTTGGGTGTGTGTCTTTCGTCCATATTCATTCGAACAACCGTGGTAAACTTGATCCAAAGGCTCTTAAGTGTGTTTTTGTGAGACATTCTTCTACACATAAAGGGTATAAACGTTATCATCCTCCAATAAAACGGTTCTTTGCCTCTGTAGATGACGCATTTGTGAAAGCTGAGAATTACTTTCCAAATCCTAATCTTTAGGGAGAGACATCATTCATGGAAGATAAGGATAGAGATTTGTTTTTGCTTGATCTTTCATCTTCCCCATCCTCGCAAAATCATACTCTGTCGTCATTCGTTTATGTTTCATCACCAAATGAGCCAGATCCAAGGACTCCTAGTGATGAGTGAGTTTTACTCGCTCATTTAGTATCATTTTACATTTAATATCTAGTTGATTTTTGAGGTTTTTGTTAGTTTTTATGTGTGCTTTTGTTGTTTGTTTGAAGGTTAGGTGAAAGTCTATGATTTGGAAGGTTTTGAATAACTTTTGATAGAAAAAGACAGCAAACACAGCGCTTAGGCGCCAATTTGTAGCGTTTTGACACTGAGTTTTACAGAACCAATACATTTGGATAGAATGGGTAGCGTTTTGGCGCCCTTGACAGCGCTGCAGCGCCCATGAATTTTGCACAGCCAGCGCCGCAGCACTAGGAACTCAGCGCCGCGGCGCTGCGACGCGAGAAAATATGCGTTTTGAAGGCCAATCGTGAGAAAACTTACCCGTTTTGACCCTAACGCTTGAAAACATATAAATAGATGATTCTAGGGCAATTAAAGGGGCTTTTGGACTAGAGTGACGGCTGACTTTTGAGAGGAGATTCAAGAAGAGAAAGGAGAATTGAGTACGGAGAAGAAGAACGGCTAAAATCCGGAGACGGAGACGCTTCAATTTAACTCCAAACTAGTTCTTTTCTTTCCTTTGCAATGATTAAGACTTTATTTAGGAATTTATTTTGTTTAAAGATGAATTAATTTCTTTTTCTAGGGCTACGATGTAGCTGGATTATGAATGTTCAGATTCTTAATATTCTTTTTAAGTAATTGATGTTTAATCCATATATGCTGAGTATTTCAATTTATTCTTAATGCTTGTGATTGTTTGGCCAACTATAACATGATTTTGTATTTGATTTGAGACTGAGGGGTGATAATTAAATAAGCTCTTAATTGAAATACCATGAATTGTTCATAGGATATAGATATCTATGATGCTTGTGCAATTCTTTTGAATTTCTTGCACTTAATAATTTTCAACAGGTTTAAAAGTCTGACAGAGATGTAGAGTTTACTTGTTGAATTAAAATTATTATTACTTAAGAAAGAATAATAATTGCTTTATAAAAATTACTGTCAGTATATGATTGAATGCTAATTTTCTTAAATTATGGGAATTTAAACAGGATTAATTTTGGTGAAATCAGAAACTCTAGAGTCTTAATCTATTGAATTTTATTCCACTGCTTAGTATTGTTTAATTTATTTAATTGTTTTAGTTTTACTTTACTTAATTTTATAAACTATCTTTTCGATTATTCAAATAAAATTGGGGTTAATATATAATTTCGGTAATTAGTAAACAACAATCTTTGTGGGACGATACTCTTATTCACTATTATATTACTTGATTGCGATAGCGTATACTTGCGTTACGATTTTTCACAACAAGTTTTTAGCGCCGTTGCCGGAGATTGTTTTGTTTTTACTAATATCGATACCAAATAACTCTAGTTTTACTTTGAATTTATTTTGTTATTTATTTTCTTGTTCTTGTTTTATGCTCTACAGGAATTTACTCTACGTGCATGCGAAAGTTTGAGAGCAGTATCCTACTTCCTCTTGATTCAGAAATTGAGTGTACTTGTCGAAGAAATAGAAAAGAGAAGAGAGAAATTGTCATTCAGTCGCAAGAAACTATGGCTGATCCTGAAGGCGCAATAAATGAGAACAACAACATACCACTGAACAATCCACCGGTGGTCAATCAGCCAATGGCTTTACGAGATTATGCATTGCCACCAACTGGTGTTCAATCAGTGATCAGGAGGCCTGCTATCTAGGCGAAAAATTTTGAATTGAAGCCGGTGATGTTGCAGATGATTCAAGCGATCCAATTTAATGGATTGCCGAATGAAGATCCTAATGCTCACATCGCAAATTTTCTAGAGATTTGCAATACTGTCAAATACAATAGAGTTAATGATGAAGCTCTTCGTTTTCGTTTGTTTCCTTTCTCTTTGAGAGATAAAACAAAAAGTTGGTTGAATTCACTGCCGCCAAATTCGATCACTAATTGGGAAGACTTAGTTCAGAAGTTCCTTTCTAAGTTTTTCCCACCGACTAAAACAGTAAAAATGCGCATCGAGATCAACAAATTTGCTCAATATGAAGGTGAAACTCTATATGGGAGAGATACAAGGAGTTACTGAAAAGATGTTCTCATTATGGTCTACCTAAATGGATGCAAGTCTATAATTTCTACAATGGGTTGAGTGACACTACAAGAACTCTAATTGATGCATCTGCAGGAGGAGCTTTAATGAAGAAAACCGAAGATGAAACATATATGAGTTGCTAGAAGATATGGCAACAAATATGAGTTGCTAGAAGATATGGCAACAAATAATTATCAGTGGCCTAGTGAAAGAAGCATACCAAAGAAGACAGCTGGACTACATGAGATTGATGCTATCACTCATCTGACTGCTCAAATTGCTTCTCTCTCCAAACAATTGCAAAATAATCAGCTGACAGCTAATGTTATTCAAGTATCATCTCCAGTTTGTGAATTTTCTAATGGGCCTCATCAAGGTTCTGATTGTTAAGTTGACAACCCTTTTGCACAGGTACAAATGGAGCAGGCTCAATATGTGAAAAATTTTAATAGGTAACAGAACAATCCTTACTCCAGCAAGTTTAATCAAGGATGGCGTAATCACCCAAACTTGTCTTCGAGAAACACTCAAAATGTGTTGCAGCCCGAACAAAGCAACCCGTCACAAGAGAAAAAGGTGAATCTGGAAGATGCAATGGCTCAATTGGCTACCTCTCACACGTAATTCATGAATGAAACTATGACAAATTTCCATAATCAATTAGCTCATATCATAAGCTTAGAGGTGCAAATTAGTCAAATGGCTAATATGTTTTCTGAGAGGCAACAGGGAAATTTGCCTAACACTTCTGAAGTGAATCCAAAATGAGATGGTAAGGAGTATCGCAAAGCAGTTACCATGAGAAGTGGTAAAGAATTAGAAGCTCCAGTGAGAATTGAAAAGCCTGACAAAGATGAGCAGAGCCTGTCGTAGAGGCTACTAAAAGGGATATTGAAGTTAAGGCAGAAAATCAAGCATAACCTCCTCAACGCCTGAAGAAAAGCAAACTAGATCAACAGTTTGCTAAATTCATAAATGTATTCAAGAAACTCTACATCAATATCCCATTCGCTGAAGCTCTAGAACAAATGCCGAGCTATGTGAAGTTTATGAAAGACATCTTGTCAAACAAGAGGAAACTTGATGATTATGAAACAGTTGCACTTACTGAAGAATGTAGTGCCATCTTACAAAAGAAGTTGCCCCAGAAACTTAAAGATCTAGGAAGTTTCACCATCCCATGTTCAGTTGAGAATGCTGTGTTCGAGAAGGCATTATGTGACTTAGGTGCAAGCATCAACTTAATGCCTTTATCTATCTTCCAAAAGCTGGGTTTAGATGAAGCACAACCTACCACAGTAACACTACAATTGGCACCCTAGAGGAGTAATTGAGGATGTGCTCGTCAAAGTTGACAAGTTTATCTTCCCTGCAGATTTCATAGTTCTTGACATGGAGAAAGATAAAGATATACCTATCATACTTGGAAGACCATTCCTAGCGACGGGGAGAGCGCTTATTGACGTTCAAAAAGGTGAACTGCGCCTTCGGGTAAAAGAAGAAGAGGTAATTTTTAATGTCTTCAATACTATAAAATACGCAGAAGCAAGTGATAGTTGCTTTCGGATTGATGAAGTGGAAGC